TTTTAAAGGAGGTAAAACCTTCTCAAGGGCTCCAACTCTTTTTTTAAAGAATGTGAAACTCCCCAAATGTCTTCTTTTTAAGAATGTGAAACCTTCTCAGAGGCACCAACTGTTTTTTTTTGAGGATGTGAAATCTTCCCGGGGATCTCAACTGTCCTTTTTTAAAGAAAATTAAACCTTCTCAGGGGGCTCAAGTGACTTTTTTTAGGAATATACAATCTTCTTTAGGGCACAAATTTTCTTTTTTTAAAGTAATGTGAAACCTTCTGAGAGCACCAATTTTTTTCAGAATGTGAAATCTTCCCAGGGATCTCAACTGTCCTTTTTAAAGAAGATGAAACCTTCACGGGAGTGCCAATTGTATTTTTTTTAAAGGAGGTAAAACCTTCTCAGGGCCTCCAACTCTTTTACTCTTTTTTTAAAGAATGTGAAACTCCCCAAATGTCTTCTTTTTAAGAATGTGAAACCTTCTCGGAGGCACCAACTGTTTTTTTTTTGAGAATGTAAAATCTTCCCGGGGATCACAACTGTTGTTTTTTAAGGAAAATTAAACCTTCTCAGGGGGCCCAAGTGACTTTTTTTACAAATATACAACATTCTTTAGGGCACAAATTCTCTTTTTTTAAAGTAATGTGAAACCTTCTGAGAGCACCAATTTTTTTCAGAATGTGAAATCTTCCCAGGGATCTCAACTGTCCTTTTTAAAGAAGATGAAACCTTCACGGGAGTGCCAATTGTATTTTTTTTAAAGGAGGTAAAACCTTCTCAGGGCCTCCAACTCTTTTACTCTTTTTTTAAAGAATGTGAAACTCCCCAAATGTCTTCTTTTTAAGAATGTGAAACCTTCTCGGAGGCACCAACTGTTTTTTTTTTGAGAATGTAAAATCTTCCCGGGGATCACAACTGTTGTTTTTTAAGGAAAATTAAACCTTCTCAGGGGGCCCAAGTGACTTTTTTTACAAATATACAACATTCTTTAGGGCACAAATTCTCTTTTTTTAAAGTAATGTGAAACCTTCTGAGAGCACCAATTTTTTTCAGAATGTGAAATCTTCCCAGGGATCTCAACTGTCCTTTTTAAAGAAGATGAAACCTTCACGGGAGTGCCAATTGTATTTTTTTTAAAGGAGGTAAAACCTTCTCAAGGGCTCAAACTCTTTTTTTAAAGAATGTGTAACTCCCCAAATGTCTTCTTTTTAAGAATGTGAAACCTTCTCGGAGGCATCAACTGTTTTCTTTTTGAGAATGTGAAATCTTCCCGGGGATCTCAACTGTCCTTTTTCAAAGAAAATTAAACCTTCTCAGGGGGCTCAAGTGACCTTTTTTAGGAATATCCAACCTTCTTTAGGGCACAAATTTTCTTTTTTTAGAGTAATGTAAAACCTTCTGAGAGCACCAATTTTTTTTCAGAATGTGAAATCGTCCCAGGGATCTCAACTGTCCTTTTATAAAAAAGATGAAACCTTCTCAGAGGGCCCAAGTGTCTTTTTTTTTAATATGGAACCTTCTCAGGGCCTCCAACTTTTTTTTTAAAGAATGTGAAACTCCCCAAATGTCTTCTTTTTAAGAATGTGAAATCTTCTGGGAGACATCAACTGTTTTTTTTTGAGAATGTGAAATCTTCCCGGGGATCTCAACTGTCCTTTTTAAAGAAAATTAAACCTTCTCAGGGGGCCCAAGTGACTTTTCTTAGGAATATACAATCTTCTTCAGGGCACAAATTCTCTTTTTTTAGAGTAATGTAAAACCTTCTGAAAGCACCAATTTTTTTTCAGAATGTGAAATCTTCCCAGGGATCTCAACTGTCCTTTTTTAAAAAAGATGAAACCTTCTCAGGGGGCCCAAGTGTCTTTTTTTTTTAATATGGAACCTTCTCAGGGCCTCCAACTCTTTTTTTAAAGAATGTGAAACTCTCCAAATGTCTTCTTTTTAAGAATGCGAAACCTTCTCAGAGGCACCAACTGTTTTTTTTTTGAGAATGTGAAATCTTCCCGGGGATCTCAACTGTCCTTTTTCAAAGAAAATTAAACCTTCTCAGGGGGCTCAAGTGACTTTTTTTAGGAATATCCAACCTTCTTTAGGGCACAAATTTTCTTTTTTTAGAGTAATGTAAAACCTTCTGAGAGCACCAATTTTTTTTCAGAATGTGAAATCTTCCCAGGGATCTCAACTGTCCTTTTTTAAAAAAGATGAAACCTTCTCAGGGGGCCTAAGTGTCTTTTTTTTTTAAATATGGAACCTTCTCAGGGCCTCCACCTCTTTTTTTAAAGAATGTGAAACTCCCCAAATGTCTTCTTTTTAAGAATGTGAAACCTTCTCGGAGGTACCAACTGTTTTTTTTTGAGAATGTGAAATCTTCCCGGGGATCTCAACTGTCCTTTTTTAAAGAAAATTAAACCTTTTCAGGGGGCCCAAGTGACTTTTTTTAGGAATATGCAACCTTCTTTAGGGCACAAATTTTATTTATTTAAAGTAATGTGAAACCTTCTGAGAGCATCAATTTTTTTTCAGAATGTGAAATCTTCCCAGGGATCTCAACTGTCCTTTTTTAAAAAAGATGAAACCTTCTCAGAGGGCCTAAGTGTCTTTATTTTTAAATATGGAACCTTCTCAGGGCCTCCAACTCTTTTTTTAAAGAATGTGAAACTCCCCAAATGTCTTCTTTTTAAGAATGTGAAACCTTCTCGGAGGTACCAACTGTTTTTTTTTTGAGAATTTGAAATCTTCCCGGGGATCTCAACTGTCCTTTTTTAAAAAAAATTAAACCTTCTCAGGGGGCCCAAGTGACTCTTTTTAGGAATATACAACCTTCTTTAGGGCACAAATTCTCTTTTTTTAAAGTAATGTGAAACCTTCTGCGAGCACCATTTTTTTTTTTTTAAAGAATGAGAAACTTTCCCGTAGTTCCCGAAAGTCCTTCTTTAAAAAAGGTGAAACCTTCTTAAGGGGCACAAGTGTGTTTTTTTTAAGAATTTGAAACCTTCTCAGGGCCACGAATTGTCTTTTTTTAAAGAATGTGAAACCTTCTTGAGACCACGAATTGTTTTTTTTTAAGAATGCGAAACCTTCTCGGGGCCACAAATTGTTGTTTTTTAAAGAATATGAAAGTTTCTCGGAGATCCCAACTGTCTTTTTTGGAGAATGTGAAATCTTGCGGGGAATCTCAAGTGTCTTTTTTTTAAAGAACGTGAAAACTTCTTCAGGGGGCCAAATGTCTTTTTTCTAAGAATATGAAACCTTCTCGGGGCCACAAATTGTCTTTTTTTAAAGAATGTGAAACCTTCCCGGGGTTCCCAACTGTCCTTTAGTAAAGGTGAAACCTTCTCAGGGGGCACAAGTGATTTTATTTAAGAATGTGAAACCTTCTCGGGGCCACAAATTGTCGTTTTCTGAAGAATGTGAAACTTTCTCGGAGACTCCAACTGATTTTTTTTTAAGAATGTGAAACCTTCTCAGAAGCTCAACTGTATTTTTAGAGAAGGTGAAACATACTTACGGGTCTCAACTGTCTTTTTTAACAACTTGAAACCTTCTTGGGGCCCCAACTGTTTTTTTTTTTTTTAGAGAATGTGAAATCTTCCCGGGGATCCCAAATGTTCTTTTTTAAAGAAGGTGAAACTTTCTCAGGGGCCCCAGCTGCTTTTTTTTGAGAATATGAAATCTTCTCGGGGCCACAAATTGTCTTTTTTTAAAGAATGTGAAACCTTCTCGGGGTCAAAAATTTTCTTTTTTTAAAGTAATGTGAAACCTTCTGAGGACACCAACTGTTTTTTTTTTCAGAATGTGAAATCTTCCCGGGGATCTCAACTGTCCTTTTTTAAAGAAGGTGAAACCTTAGGGGGCCCAAATGTCTTTTTTTTAATAATATTAAACCTTCTCGAAGGGCCCAAGTATCTTTTTTTAAGAATATGAAATCTTCTCGAGGCCACAAATTGTCTTTTTTTAAAGAATGTGAAACCTCGGGGGCCCCAACACCATTTTTTTTAAGGGTGAAACCTTCTCGGGGCCACAAATTATCTTTTTTAACAAATGTGAAACCTTCTCGAGGGCACCAAGTGTTTTTTTTTAATAATGTAAAACCTTCACATGGATTTCAACTGTCCAACTGACTTTTTTTACAAAATTTAAAATTTTCTCAGCGGAGCATCAACTGTCTTTTTTTAAGGTGAAACCTTCTCGGGGTCCCCAACTGTTTTTTTTTAAGAAGTGAAATCTTCTCGAGGATCCCGACTGTTTTTTTTTTAAGAAGTTGGAACCTTTTCAGTCCCTCCAATTGTCCTTTTTTAAAGAATGTGAAACCTTCTCGAGGGTCCGAAGTGTTTTTTTTTTAAGATTCTGAATGACATCGGAAATCGTTCCTCTGGATCGAATTTACCTGTCCAAAATTTTTGAGAATTTTCGAAGGCGTTTGAAAAATTGTTTTCGCCTAGTGCTCCTGAGTGTTTAGGTTCGAAGAAGTACAAAGGTGTGATTTTTCAAATCAAAAGGTTAAAATGTACAAAACTTGGTATATTATTGTTGTGCGTGTAGAGGAATTCGATTTTTGTAGGTTTCAAAGACCTCCTAAACTCACGTACCGAAGCAAGTAAAAAATTTAAACAAACTTCGACATATTTAACAACAGAAGAAGCACTAAATTCAACTATATTGAAAATCGAAAGGATACAACCACGAAGTACTAAAATTATGCATAAACCGGAATACGTTGCCCATAAAATTCAAAACAAGCTAGCAAATTTCAATAAAGAAATTCCAAAATCTGATAAAAGCAAAGCTGTACAAATTAATGGTACATACAATAAGGTAGTTCCGACCTGAAAAACGGGTATTCAAATGAACGAAAGTTTTACAACATTTTACCATATAAATTATAATAAACAAAACGGAAATTCAACTGAAACAACTATCGACTATCGCGTTAAAAAAAGTCGACTTTTTTTAACAAAAATTGTGTAAACACAAGATAACTTGACTCGAATTTTTATAATTAAAACCACTCATAACCTACTTTGTAATCTTTAATTATCACAATAAATAATTTACGTTACAGAACACATAAAATCAACCACCCGTCTAATACTGATTTCGCTCCTCGCCGCTCCTCCTCAGACCCCTACAACATACCAAATTAGCACCCATTCGCACCCATTTCCCAGTACCCACCTCCACACACGCTCATGCAGACCTTCTGGGTGAGGAAATTGTTCCCGTTACCGTCGCACCCCCCGAATTTGAACTCGTGGCACTTCCCCGTCGAGGGGTCGTATCTCCACCGGGGTAGAAGCGCCCGGCAGTGTCCTCGAGCCTCGGGGAGCTTGCACATGACTGTAGGGCTCTGGGTTTCTGAAAAAGGAACGACAGTTCGAACCGTCGAGGGCTGAATGGGACTCACCACTAGGGGACGTCGTCGGCTTGCCGGAGACGACGCTCACGACCACGGCCAAGACCAGGACTGCGACAAGAGTTTTCAGGGGCATTTTCGTCTTCACTCGGTGCCGGTTGGCTGATATCACTGACGCTGACGAAGAACTGCCGGTATTTAAAGAGACATGCACGTACGTCACACGTGGACAGGTGAAATCACTGCAGACGTGGGACAGAGGCGGACGCGAAGGTGTAAAACCCAAGAAAAATAACCGACAATAAACATAAAGGAGTAATAGCTGCGATAATATCGAAAGTCTTATTCACGGTGTTTCACAGGGTGCTGTCACCGGACCGCTCTTAGTCCTGGTGTATACAACTTCAAGTCGGTTTTCTCAGCGGGCCCTGACGCCGCCCCTGGCGATGGCATAATCTCGACTTCTAGAATGACGGTTCAGTGGACTTTTGGGCTGACGCACAGACGGATCTGGGTCAAAAATATTTTTGTTGTTACTAGTACAAGTGCGTTCTTATGCAACACTGTGGGATCGCTGAAGTTCAATGAATGGGTAATTAAGCAATTTCGCAAAAAGGTGAACGAACCGCGCACTGCCAGGGAGTGGAAATAATTTATATTTTTTGGCGAATTTTCTGACGTCCGAAACGATGAATGGCTTTCTGTTCAATCGACTCGCTAATTTCGTTCAGAGTAAACAAGTTTCACTTCTCAAAACCCGAAATGAAAAAATTAGCGTAGAAATAAATGGGGCAACAACTGGCCGAAATTTGGCGTAAGGTGTTTAAAAAATTCCTTGACCTCGTGGATTTGGCAACTTGTTGAATGGACGCATCTTGTACAACATCCTGTTTGAAGCCCCACATTAAGAGGTAGTTTCTTCATGGGTGATCACGCGTCGTGCATTTTTATTTATTTATTTATCAGTTTTTATTTATTAATTTACAATTTTCGGGACTTAATACACACAAGAAAACAATAAACGGCCTACATTACAATGTATTGTGCAACAGTTAAAACTTCTATGTATTGTAGTTACAACACAATAAGTCGTTTAAAAGCTTGTGGCTTTAAAGTTCACTCCTGTTAAGACAATGTTTGCCATTAATCTACACATTATAACATTTATTCATTTACAGACGATTAGACAGCACTTCAAGATTGACACAAAATACCCACTACCGAATTATCCCGTGTAAATAAATAAACATTAAAGCAAACACATAATGCATACGTCTTCCAAGCCATTTACTAAAAATTCAATTGTTCCGCATTATACAAAAAAAAACTCTTCTTTGTGTCCGATAAGACACCTACATTATAAAACACCAAAAAACTAAAACAGTTGTCATCAAATTGAACTTAGATACGACTTATCCTTTATCCCCCAGAAAATGCAATTTGCTGATATTGCAGACCTCCCAAGAATTCGAGTTCAGCGCCTGAAAGATTCTTCACATTTTTTTTAATAAGACACCACAGCCCCTGAAATTCTTTCAAATCGCTAAAAAAAGACCAGGGATTCTTTCAGATCCTTAAAAAAGAAACACCCCAATCTCCCGATATTCCTTCAAATTGTTTCAAATTTAAAACACCTGAGGTTCTTTAAATTTCTTTAAATGTAAAACACTAAGTACTCCTGAGATTTTTTAAAATTCTATATAAAATAAAACACCAAAAGCACCCAAAATTCTTAAAGTTATTTCAAAAGCAAAACAAAAAAGGCTCCCGAAACTCTTGTTGCCGGCAGGATTCTTTAAAACTGTCAAAAATAAAACACCAGGAACCCCCGAGGTTCTTTAATTGTTTCAAAACCAAACGCAGAAGCCCCTGAGCTCCTTTGAAATTCTATTAAAAAAGAAACTTCGGTAGTTCATGGGAATCCTTAAAATTCCTTAAAAATAAAACACCAGGAATTCTGAGATTGAACTTTATTAAAAATCAAACAAAAGTCCGGTGATGCCCTAAACATTTCAAATTTATTCACAAAGAAAGCACCATAGCCCAAAACTCTTTAAACTCTTTCAAACATAAAAATCTGGGGGGCAGGATTTTTCAAAGGTGTTTAAAAATAAAACACCAAGAACCTTCAAGATTCTTTCAGTCTTTCGAAAACAAAAAACCAACAAGGCCCCCAAAACTTCTAAAATTTTTCAAATTTCTAGAAAAAGACCAGGGATTCTAGGCATTCATTAAATTCTTTCAAAATTAAAATACCAGGAACCCCCTGGAAATTTCTTTAGAAATAAAACACTAGGATTCCCAGATGTGTTTTAAATTATTTCAAAACTAAAACACCGGAAGCCCCTGAGATTATTTGAAATTCTATTTAAAAGAAAAGCAAAACTCTGGTGGTCCATAGGATTCTTTAGTTTTATTCAAAAATAAAACACCACGGGTCCCAAAGATTCTTTTAGATCCTTAAAAAAACACCACACTTTCCCGACATTCCTTAAAATTCTTTCAAATTTAAAACACCAAGAACCCCTGACATTCTATAACATTCTATAACAAAATAAAACACCTGAAAGTTCTTTAAACTAAGGTATTTCAAAACGAAAACACCGAGGGCCCCTGGGATTATTTGAGATTCTATAAAAAATAAAACCCCGGTTACCCGTGAGATTCTTTAAAATCCTGTAAAAAAATAAAACATCAGGGACCCCCGAGGTTCTTTAAATTGTTTCAAAACCGAAAACAGGAGCCTCTGAGATTCTTTAAAATTCTATTTAAAAAAATACAAAACTCCGGGATTCTTTAAATTTCTTGAAAATTAAAACACCAAAGCCCACGAAATTAATTCTTTAAATTCAAAGTTAAAATACCAGGAACCCCTGAAATTCTGGAAATTTCTTTATAAATAAAACACTGGAAGTCCCAGAGATGTTTTAAATTATTTCAAAACCAAAACACCGAAAGCCACCGAAATTATTTGAAATTCTATTAAAAAAAAAACTCCGGTGTTTCATGGGACTCTTCAAATTTTCGCAAAAATGGAACACCAGGAGCCCCGATATTCTTTAAATTGCTTCGAAACCACTACGGGCTTTTGGAATTCTCCCATATTCTTTAAAAAAACACCAAGGGCTTCCGACGTTCTTTCCCTGAAACCCTTTAAATTTCCTTAAAAATAAAACACCGAGAACTCGAGATTCTTTAAAACTTTATTAAAAATCAAACAAAAGTCAGGTGGTGTACGAAACACTTTAAATTTTTTCACAAAGAAAGCACCATGGCCCCAAAACTTTTTAAACTCTTTCAAACATAAAGATCTAGAGGGCAGGATTAAAATAAAACACCAAGAACCTCCAAGAGTCTTTCAGTCTTCCGAAAAGAAAAAACCAACAAGGCCCCCAAAACTTCTAAATTTTTTTTCAAATTTCTAGAAAAAGACCACGGATTCTAGGCTTTCTTTAAATTCTTTCAAAATTAAAATACCAGGAACCTCTGAAATTCTGTAAATTTCTTTAGAAATAAAACATTAGGATTCCCAGATGTGTTTTAAATTATTTCAAAACTGAAACACCGAAAGCCCCTGAGATTATTTGAAATTCTATTAACAAAAAAGGCCAAACTCTGGTGGTCCATAGGATTCTTTAGTTTTAATTCAAAAATAAAACACCACGGGCCCCTAAGATTCTTTTAAATCCTTAAAAAAACACCACACTTTCCCCACATTCCTTCAAATTCTTTCAAATTTAAAACACCAAGAACCCCTGACATTCTATAACATTCTATAACAAAATAAAACACCTGAAAGTTCTTTAAACTAAGGTATTTCAAAACGAAAACACTGAGGGTCCCTGGGATTATTTGAGCTTCTATAAAAAATAAAACCCCGGTTACCTGTGAGATTCTTTAAAATCCTGTAAAAAATTAAACATCAGGGACCCCAAGGTTCTTTAAATTGTTTCTCTGAGATTCTTTAAAATTCTATTAAAAAAAATACAAAACTCCGGAATTCTTCAAATTTCTTGAAAATTAAAACACCAAAGCCCACGAAATTAATTCTTTAAATTCAAAGTTAAAATACCAGGACTCAGGGGTTCTGGAAATTTCTTTATAAATAAAACACTAGAAGTCCCAGAGATGTTTTAAATTATTTAAAAACCAAAACACCGGAAGCCACTGAAATTATTTGAAATTCTATAAAAAAAAAACTCCGGTATTTCATGGGACTCTTCAAATTTCTTCACAAAGAAAGCACCATAGCCCCAAAACTCTTTAAACTCTTTCAAACATAAAAATCTAGAGGGCAGGATTCTTTAGAAGTGTTTAAAAATAAAACACCAAGAACCCTCAAGATTCTGTCAGTCTTTCGAAAACAAGAAACCAACAAGGCCCTCAAAATTTCTAAAATTTTTTCAAAAACAAAACGCCGAAAGATTGTTCACATTTTTTCAAAAATAAGATACCACGTCCCTTGAGATTCTTTCAAATCACTAAAAAAAGACCAGGGATTCTAGGCATTCTTTCAAATTCGTTCTAAAACAAAACGTCGATGACTCCCGACATTCTTTAAATTCTTTCAAAGTTAAAATACACCCGAAATTCTTGAAATTTCTATAGAAATAAAACACTAGGAGTCCCAGAAATGTTTTAAATTATTTCAATACCAAAACACCGGAAACACCGAATTATTTGAAATTCTGTTAAAAAAAACTTCGGTGGTCCCTAGGATTCTTTAAATTTCTTTAAAAATAAAACACCACGGACTCCTGAGATTCTTTCAGATTCTTAAAAAAACGCCACAATCTCCCGACATTCCCTCAAATTCTTTCAAACTTAAAACACCAAGGATCCCTAAAACCCTCTAAATTTCCTTAAAAATAAAACACCGGGAATCTTGGGATTCTTTAAAACTTTATTAAAAATCAAATCAAAGTCCGGTGGTTCCTGGAACACATAAATTTCTTCAAAAAGAAAGCACCATAGCTCCAAAACCCTTTAAACTCTTTCAAACATAAAAATCTAGGAGGCAAGATTCTTTAGAAGTGTTTAAAACTAAAACACCAGAAACACCCCAGATTCTTTCAAATTTTAGAAAACAAAAAACCAATAAGGGTCCCCAAAACTTCTAAAATTTTTTCAAAAACAAAACGCCGAAAGATTGTTCACATTTTTTCAAAAATAAAATACCA